TCCCAGGGGAAAAAAAATCCTAGAACTGAACCAACCAGGCAGAAGACAGGAAAGACAAAGAAGATATACAAAGGGAGAAGAGTAAAGGAGAGGAGTAGATAACGATCAGGTCAAGTCACGAGTGTTCTGAGCATTTGACAATATAATGAGATAGAAAGATATCTACAGAGACAAAGCCAAGACTAAGATTCATATCAGGAAAACTTGTATACGAAATGGTTCAACAACCCGGTGTCTGTAAAAGCTAGAAGAAGGATAGACAGTTTTGGGAGAGCACCAGTTAATATAATGAATGTGATTTCTAACATGACAGGAAAGAGTATTGTTAGTGTTATGTCTAACACTTCTTTTGCGCTTTTTTAAGTCTGCCAGAAAAAGAGCGGCCAATTTTTCCAAAATATTGAAAATTACAAGAGCAGCAGGAAATGGAGTAGACTCCGTAAGCATCAGTCACAGAAGGAGAGGAAAAAACGGAGAGTGTTGTTGAGATTTGAAAGACTGGAAATATAGGGATGTAACAGAACGGGAGATTTCAGAGGAGTAGAGAGTGTGGGAGACAACAAAGTTCGTTTAGAATGTGAGGAAGCAGAGTTTATGAAATCATTTCTTGACTTGGAAATTTCCACTGATTATAGTTCGCTCTTTCGCACGAGCTTTCATGTCTTCGAGGAGAGCTGCTGCAGAGCTGTGAGATTTTAAATGTATGGTATTTCTTTTTTTAGCTTTAAATGATTTAGAAAGAAGAATTTTTTTTGCTTCTTTGTAATTCTGTATGTCTTGTGGCTTTGTAGATCTGTTTATATATGTTTATATATATTTATTATATATATATATAATATATATATATATATATATATATTATATATATATATATATATATATATATATAATTTTTTTTATGATATGGAGTCCACCTCTGGTGTAAATTGTGGGATCCATAGCCTCGGAAAAGTGGATAAAAAGGCTTCAAGGATGAATATTTGGATTTCTTCCTGAAGCCGTTTGAATATTCCACTTTCCCTACCACCCCATCTTTTCATATATATATATATATATATATTTTACCAGTAGGAATATTTTATTACATAATATGGTACAAAAGATTTAAGAGATACATTGTTGATATAAAGTGGCATATACGGCACATGTTGTTACGTGTGTATCACCGATTATAGGGCGAAAATCTCATCCAGCTCCTCAGAGCTGGGGTGTGTGCCCAAAATACAGCAGGCATTACCCCTTTGAACAGCCGCACTGAGCCGCTGGAACAGAAAACTAGCTGCCCTGGGATCCATAGTTACCCTGATGAGTCTTTTTCCCAGCTCCTTAAGGAATTTAGATGCATTCTTTCCCCATGAGCCAAGAGTCTCTGAGCCTTTGGGAACAAACATATAATGATGGGCAAGTTCTCCATATTTTCTATACTTTTGGGACTACCTGAAGCTGGCAGCTGCCCCTCCTTCCTCCCTGGTGTATTGGAGATAGGTATCAGCCAAGGTAGATGCACATGTATATTCCCACACCACCCGCTTCCCATCTGTCCAGACTTGAAGGGTGATACCATCTGGACGCTTATGGCTGCCATCAGATCTGTATAGCTGGGGTGGCTCCCTTACTGCTGGGCATCCGGCTGTTGTGAGTCTCCTCTTGATAATGTTATTAACCTCCTCATGTCTTGCAATCTTTCCCTCGGATTTACCGCACACAAGACCGTGGTACCCGAATCGGTCTGCTGCTTCATTGCCACAAATACACCTGTGTTCGGCGAGAATAGGGGCGGCAAGTCGAAGGGCAACACCGATGCGGATGGTCTGTGGGTCGAGGCGTGTGCCAAGGCTGGAGTTGGGAACAGCCAACAGAAAGTCCCCAGCATGAGGGGCTCTCACTGCCAGGAGGCGGGCTCTATCCTTCCCTGACACACTCTGAAGCATTGTTGAGGCTACATTTTCCACTATTGGACCATCCCAGTGCGATTGTTTGTAGTTGTTGGGGGGAGCAGGTCTGGTTTCAGAGCCCGTTAGATTATCCCAGATGGCTCCGTCAATGAACTTTTGGTCCTGGACTCCAATCTTGTCCCTAAGATGTTCAGGGAGAATCGCTGGTACAAACCCTCTGGATGCAATACATGAGGACAGAAAAGCAGGTAGCGCAATCTGTGATGACTTGCGGACACCAATGCCTCCTAGTCTGACTGAAAGTGTAGCTTGGCTCCACTGCCCGTCTTCTCGAGTAAGTACTTTCGTAAAAATCTGCCTCAGGATACTGTCATATTCGTGCAGTATAGGGGTATCATATGAAGGTGCACATCTTAGGAAATATGTCAACCTGGGCAGACTCAATCACTTTGTGAGAAGGTACAGGGCATCGCGGGTGTCCAGATTGCCTATTCGTTATTCCATTCTCCTTAACTCTTCCAATTTCTTCCTGAGAATTGTCAATGGCATTATATATATATATATATATATAATATATATATATATATATATATATATATTATATATATATATATATATATATATATATATATATATTATATATATGATATATATATATATATATATATATATATATATATATATATATGTATATATATATATATATATATATATATATATATATATATATATATATATATATATATATATATATATATATAATATATATATATGTATTATAATATATATATATATATATATATATATATATATATATATATTATATATATATATATATAATATATATAAAGATATATAAACAGATCTACAAAACCACAAGACATACAGAATTACAAAGAAGCAAAAAAAAAAATTCTTCTTTCTAAATCATTTAAAGCTAAAAATAAAATACCATACAATTAAAATCTCACAACTCTGCAGCAGCTCTCCTCGAAGACATGAAAGCTCGTGCGAAAGAACGAGCTATGATCAGTGGAAATTTCCAAGTCAAGAAATAATTTCATAAACTCTGCTTCCTCACATTCTAAACGAACTTTGTTGTCTCCCACACTCTCTACTCCTGTTGCAGAAATGAGTAGGAAGTACAGGTAGAATGAGATAGCTTCAAGCAGAATAGTGCCGGGTGCCAGAAAAATGAAGCCAATATATTAAAACGGTAGAGAGCATATAAAATCCCATCATATAAATCATCTACCGACCACAGCATTGACATGTCAAATATCAAATATAACCTATCACCGTGCCATCAAATATCACCATGCCTTTAGACTCCATATCGAATCATTGTAAAAGACTTAAATATTGTGATCTCAAAAGTATCTGGCATCTATCAGTAAGAAATTTTTTTTCGTTAAATAAAAAGAAAATTGGTCTAGGAGAAGGAACAAGAGGAAAACGATCCACCTCACCCTTAGGTAAAGGTTTATCCATAAGGGTGAGTGGGATCAACGGATCCTGATTGCTATTTACTTCATCAGTGTAGAGCTGCATTTACAACAGCTCAGCGAGTTCAAGCAGGACTCCGGCTGCAGAGTGTGTACAATGCCTTCACTTATAAAGTTATCAAATTTGAATAAGCCAAAACTATTATTATAAAATGTTTTATAACGGCCAATTTTAAATTATTTCTGTCCTGCCAAGAGAAGTAAGGAGCCACGACTCTAGCTTATAGTGTGGTTGAAAATCACAATTGATAAGCAAGTAAATTTATTCAGGTATACACAAATACAGTTACATAGATTATCATACACAGAAGTATATGTTGGCACAGTTCACACAATGTACAGCCCAGAGTTTCTCGATGAAGAAATTAGGAAAATATTTGATACTGCCAAGGAATTATGGTACCCTAAGGAGTTTGTAGAATCAGCATTGCTGACAGCTAGGAAAACTTATCATAGAACAGAACCTAAGGTGATACCTTAAATCAAGAATGTACTGGTTCTCCCATATAATGAGAATTTGTCTATCCTGGCGAATGCTCTAAAAACATTCAACATACATGTAGTTTTTAAGAATTCACAGTCAGTTAGAAGCATTTTGATAAAGAATTCCCCTCAACACTGTGTTGGCAGTGTTTACGGGATCAGTCATAATGGCTGCAACTTATCTTAAGTTGGACAGACCGAGAAACTTCTAGATGTTAGGTTAACACAACACCAATATTTGATATTGAACTGTGGAGGAATCAAATGCGATTTACAACCAAACTAAAGCCTGCAAAAACTCTGCAAATTGGTTAAATGCCAGGGTTGTGGTTCTTTGTTCCTCTTGGCTGGAAGGAAATATTTTAGTACGGGAAATTATAAAACATGATAAACATTCATTATATAAAAATAATTTCGTCTGTTTCCAACTCAGTAACTTTATAAATGAAAGCATTGAACACAGTCTTAAGCCAAAGTCCTCCTGAACTCTGACGATTTGAGTAGCACTCGTTTCTGCTGCTCTCACTCACCCTAAGGGTGAGGTTGGTCAGCCTCTGAAAAAAATAGGATCGTTTCCCTCTTGTTGCTTCTCCTAGACCCATTTTCTTTTTATGCGATGAAAAGAATTTTCCTACTGATAGATGCCAGATATTTTTAAATCTTTCATAATGATACGATATGGAGAATAACGATATTTTGGTGATATTTAACATATCACTAATATTGTGGTCACTGGGTAATTACTTAATATTTAATGCAGATGGCTTTTATATGCTTTCTATTTTAATATTCTCCCTTCATTTGTCTGGCACTTAGCACTGGTCTACTTGATGCCATCTTATTCTAACTCGAGTCGTTCCCTTGAACGAATCTACCTGGACTTCCTAAACACGAAATACATAGAGCTGTCGTTCAACTCCCCTGTGGTTGTTTTGCATCTTGTATTGCTTGTTTGCGATTACTGCATGGATGTATGTATGTATATAATATTATATATATTATATTATATATATATATATATATATATATATATTTATATATATATATATATTATATATATATATATATATATATATATATATATATATATATATAACATATATGTGTGTGTGTGTGTGCATATCTTTGATCTCCTAGGTTCCTGAATAAGACACATGTTGTGCAACACCTGGACATCTTTAATGAGAGATGTTTCTCCCTACACTGGCGTTAATAGTCTAATACAGAGACGTGAGAGCGGTGTAGAGCAATGCAGCACAAGCGGAGACCTCGCTAGTGAACGTAGCCTTGACCCAACAGTGAACATGATAACATGTAGCCTCAACTGTTACTACTTTTTCAACTGGCTTCACTACAAAAGCCTTCGTTTGTATTATATTTATGAACCGTCGGTTGGCGAAGCGTCTCTCAATATGGGCAGCCAGGTGTTGCACATGTAGAATATTCATGATTATATATTTTTGTTCTAATGATTCGTATGTTCACTCCAGAAAGTTCACTATCTGTATAAAGATTTAGTAAGTCATGTTTTGATAAAGCTCTACACACAGCTTCTCAATAATGATGCTGTGCCTGAATCTTTGTGCAGAAAGTTCTCCCAAATCTACTGGGCAGGGAGAAAGTTCACACAAGCTGAGAGGTTAACTTCCATAGTCTATTAAGATCGTTCTATTTCTTTTTTAATTAGCTTTTAAATACACACAGAAGAAGGTTGTACCAATAAAAGCATGTGATGCAACATGTGGATTGTTTTTCATCAACAATATAACTATGACTGGTGACATGGTCTCTGCCTCGCCTGGGTACCTTCACTCTACCTTACACTCTCCATTACCTGGGAACTGTTTATCCATATGAGAATTACAAAAATATAGAAAGGGTTACATGCGGATGGCAGCTGTATTCTGAGAGGTCAAGGAACACGTACTGTCGTGTGGACCATTTTTTGAATTCACGAACAATCTGCCTTTTAATTATTACCAGTCAGTAAAATACAGTTTACTTGAAAAGACAGCCTTCAATATAATATATACACTCATTACAGTGATCGGAATTCGAGCCAGTGATCTGGGGTTGTGAGCTTGTGTCGTTCTGCATCACAGAGACTAAGACGATGAGCTAACAATCCCATATCATAGGTTAAAATTTCAATTAATCTATTAAAATATTACGTTCGTTCATAACGAATATTCAGCACATGTCCCATAAATAAATGCCTGCGAATGCGGAATATACGGACTCTAAAGGCCCGAGGTACGGAAACCTACAAACGAGAATCCTGGAAAGTTAGATTAGGTCAGGAAATGAACTTCCGTATCTTTTGTCCGCCTACTGAAGTTACCGAAGTTTAATTCCGGGCGTTTAAGCACGCCGTTGCTGGTGAACCCTGGAGTGAGCAACGAGCCAGCGTTGCCAGAAATGTGAGACGTCTAATGGAAATACTTCTCCGAACCCGTAACCTCACTTTTAGTGTTCCACTTCCTGTGCTCAAAGCCACGGCAGCAACCACAAAATTTATAATCTGGAAGTAGATACACCTTTATGTACATACTGATGCATGTAACCACTAGTGGACAAAATATGTTAAATAAATGGTTTCCCATCCATGGAAGTCCAGAACATAGCACTGCACATACTTTTGGTGAACCACACCACACACACATACCAAAGTCTCCTACTCACAGTCACTGCCTTTGACTAAAGGCACTGAGCGATATTAAAGGTTTCTAGATCCTGCGTTGTCTTACACACAGCGGCAGCAGCAGAAGCAGCGACGACGACGAGGTTCAGCAGAGTGCACATCCCCAGCAGAAAGCAGAAACGCCTAAGTTGGTTGTGGTTGTCGGGCAGAGCTTGCTGCAGCGCAAGCAGAGTGAGCGTAAGAGAGGCGGCTACTGGAGGCGGAGTGGTGGCGGTGGTGGCTGGTGGTGCCTTGCTGGGGTGCAGGTCGTGGTGCAGCCCAGCAGGCACCTCCTCTGTAATGAAGGGAACTATATTTTAGTAGATGATAGTGTCATAACCTTAATGGTGATGTCAAACATTTTCATTGATGCTGGTGAAGGGCACTTCATACGAGGAAATAAAGCTAACCTCCCCTTCCCCGTATCAGTTCTAATTACCTCCCATTCCCAATGAGTTGTATAATTCCCCAATGAATATAGCAAGTCACACACACACACACACACACGCATTATATATATATATATATATATATATATATATATATATATATATATATATATATATATATATATATATATATATATATATATATATATATATATTTGTGTGTGTGTTGTGATAAATAGATGTAGAGATAGATATGAGAGGGGATGAGAGAGAGAGAGAGAGAGAGAGAGAGAGAGAGAGAGAGAGAGAGAGAGAGAGAAACAGATAAATACATAATAATTATAAAAGTAAGTGAACTCTTTACACAGTGAAAGACAAGACTAAAAATTAATCCACTTAACTTAGTGTATATACATAGTTAATAACATTAAAATATCATTATTATTAATAATTGTGAAATATTCATATTACATTATAGACAGATATTTCACATAAATAATGTACTCTTAGTCAGGATTGTTCCATCACTGTTATTAATGGGAGTCCAACGCAAAAACCCATCGTAAAATACTCTATGAAAACTGCAGTAATGTTAACATTAAATGGTTTCAGTAGACAGAGATTATGCCAGTGCAGAGTCCAGAGTTTTACTATTAATAATTACCTGTTTGACGCAACGCTGCCAGTGTTGCATGACAACAATACAAGAAACAGGTCAACTATATGCACTGACAGATGTATATCTAACAGTGTGTGTAAACTTTAATCCCAGTTATAATCTTAATCACCTTCATGTGGTGGATAGATTTCAAACCCAACAAAACAGTTAATTAACCAATACTCGAAAGATCTTGCATTCCTTGGTATCAGTGCCTTAAGTGGTCAGTTTTAACGTTCACAACAAGTCTATGTAAACCATTAGAATTGCAGATGATACACCTGCGTATGTACATGGTGTATATTAGGTGTCTCCCAGGGCAGGTGAGTGTAGGAATGTGTACAGTGGGTGTCTACCCGGGCAGGCATGTTGGTGTATAGTGGGTGTCTACCCGGGCAAGCATGTGGTGTATAGTGGGTGTCTACCCGGGCAAGCATGTGGTGTATAGTGGGTGTCTACCCGTGCAGGCATGTGGTGTATAGTGGGTGTCTACCCGGGCAGGCATGTGGTGTATAGTGGGTGTCTACCCGTGCAGGCATGTGGTGTATAGTGGGTGTCTACCCGGGCAGGCATGTGGTGTATAGTGGGTGTCTACCCGGGCAGGCATGTGGTATATAGTGGGTGTCTACCCGTGCAGGCATGTGGTGTATAGTGGGTGTCTACCCGGGCAGGCATGTGGTGTATAGTGGGTGTCTACCCGGGCAGGCATGTGGTGTATAGTGGGTGTCTACCCGGCAGGCATGTGGTGTATAGTGGGTGTCTACCCGTGCAGGTATGTGGTGTATAGTGGGTGTCTACCCGGGCAGGCATGTGGTGTATAGTGGGTGTCTACCCGTGCAGGTATGTGGTGTATAGTGGGTGTCTACCCGTGCAGGTATGTGGTGTATAGTGGGTGTCTACCGGGCAGGCATGTGGTGTATAGTGGGTGTCTACCCGTGCAGGTATGTGGTGTATAGTGGGTGTCTACCCGTGCAGGTATGTGGTGTATAGTGGGTGTCTACCCGTGCAGGCATGTGGTGTATAGTGGGTGTCTACCCGTGCAGGTATGTGGTGTATAGTGGGTGTCTACCCGGGCAGGCATGGGGTGTATAGTGGGCGTCTACCCGTGCAGGAATGTGGTGTATAGTGGGTGTCTACCCGGGCAGGCATGGGGTGTATAGTGGGTGTCTACCCGTGCAGGCATGTGGTGTATAGTGGGTGTCTACCCGTGCAGGCATGTGGTGTATAGTGGGTGTCTACCCGTGCAGGTATGTGGTGTATAGTGGGTGTCTACCCGTGCAGGCATGTGGTGTATAGTGGGTGTCTACCCGTGCAGGTATGTGGTGTATAGTGGGTGTCTACCCGGGCAGGCATGGGGTGTATAGTGGGTGTCTACCCGTGCAGGAATGTGGTGTATAGTGGGTGTCTACCCGGGTTGGCATGTGGTGTATAGTGGGTGTCTACCCGTGCAGGCATGTGGTGTATAGTTGGTGTCTACCCGGGCAGGCATGAGAGGCATAGTGGGTGTCTACCCGGGCAGGCATGAGATGTATAGTGGGTGTCTACCCGGGCAGGCATGAGAGGCATAGTGGGTGTCTACCCGGGCAGGCATGAGGTGTACAGTGGGTTTATGTTTCTGTTTAACACTTCTGTCTGTCTTCTTTTAGTGGGGAGGGTGTGTTATAGTGCTAGTGAAGGTTTCTTTACCCAAGGAGTTGGAACTATACTCTCGGACTACGTCCCATGCTCCAAGTGTTATATGACAGCAACGGGTTTACCACTTGCCCTTTATTGCAATGAATGTATGTGGTTCGCCAGGTATATAGAGCGTGATGAGTTGCAGCACAGGTTACCCAACACGAAATTCAAATTACAGTATATTATGACTTAGTTGGTCCAGAAAATTTTGTATTATTTGTGCGATTTTGGTGACAGCTGTTAAAAATTCACCACTGTCTGGAAAATCTTCCAGCTCCTGCCCCCAACATCTTGCTTCTGGGGGATTTCAACTTGAGGTACCTAAAATGAGGAATATAGCAAATAATGTTGTTGCAGTGATAACACCAGTAGGCAGCTCTGACGAGAACTCACACACACACGAGCTTTTAAATCTCGGCACAAAATTCAACTTAAACCAGCAAACAATAGAGCCTACTAGACTGGAGGATACACTAGACCTCATCTTCACTAACAATGATGATCTGATACGAAATGTCACCATATCAAAAACAATATACTCAGATCACAACATAATCGAGGTTCAGACATGTGTGCGCGGAGCCCCAGACCGACAAAATGAGATCAGTCACGAAAATTCAAATCAACTTCAGTAACAAGAACATAAAGTGGGACCAAGTAAACCAAGTCCTAAACGATATAAGCTGGGAAGATAGACTAAGCAACACAGACCCCAACTTATGCCTAGAACAGATTAACTTGGTCGCACTCGATGTATGCTCAAGGCTTATCCCTTTAAGAAAAAGGAGGAGTAGATGTATTATAGAAATAGACAGGTGCTCCCTTTGCAGGCGACGGAAAAGAATAACAGAGCGGCTAAAAGAGGCCAATGTATCTGCAATGCGTAGGGAGATACTTGTCAGAGAAATAGCAAACATCGAACTTAAGCTAAAGGAATCTTACAGGAGTCAGGAATCGCGGGAAGAACTAAAAGCCATAAATGAAATCGAACGAAACCCAAAGTATTTCTTTTCTTATGCAAAAATCAAAGTCGAGAACAACATCCAGTATTGGGCCTCTACTTAAACAAGATGGGTCCTACACAGATGACAGCAAGGAAATGAGTGAGCTACTCAAGTTCCAATATGACTCAGTTTTTAGCAAGCCGCCAACCTGACTGAGAGTCGAAGATCTAAATGATTTTTTTATGAGAGAGCCACAGAATTTGGTAAACACAAGCCTATCTGATGCTATCCTGACGCCAAATGACTTCGAACAGGCGATAAATGACATGCCCATGCACTCTGCCCCAGGGCCAGACTGGTGGAACTCCGTGTTCATCCTACGGAGAGGGAGCATGGGCACGGGAGTCGTCCCACAGTTTCTAAAAACAACAGACATAGCCCACTCCACAAAGGGGACAGTAAAGCAATAGCAAAGAACTACAGATCGACAGCACTAACATCCCATATCATAAAAATCTTTGAAAGGGTCCTAAGAAGCAAGATCGCCACCCATCTAGATTCTCATCAATTACACAACCCAGGGCAACATGGGTTTAAAACAGGTCGCTCCTGTCTGTCCCAACTACTGGATCACTACGACAAGGTCCTAGATGCGCTAAAAGACAAAAAGAATGCAGATGTAATATATACAGACTTTGCAAAAGCCTTCGACAAGTGTGACCATGGCGTAACAGCGCACAAAATGCGTGCTAAAGGAATAACAGGAAAAGTTGGTCGATGGATCTATAATTTCCTCACAAACAGAACACAAAGAGTAGTAGTCAACAGAGTAAAGTCTGAGGCGGCTACGGTGAAAAGCTCTGTTCCACAAGACACAGTACTCGCTCCCATCTTTTTTCTCATCCTCATATCTGACATAGACAAGGATGTCAGCCACAGCACCGTGTCTTCCTTTGCAGATGACACCCGAATCTGCATGACAGTGTCTTCCATTGCAGACACTGCAAGGCTCCAGGCGGACATCAACCAAATCTTTCAATGAGCTGCAGAAAACAATATGAAGTTCAACGATGAGAAATTTAAATTACTCCGATATGGTAAACATGAGGAAATTAAAACTTCACATGAGTACAAAACAAATTCCGGCCACAAAATAGAGCGAAAAATCAACGTCAAAGACCTGGGAGTGATCATGTAGGAGGATCTCGCCTTCAAGGACCATAACATTGTATCAATCGCATCTGCTCGAAAAATGACAGTATGAATAATGAGAACCTTCAAAACTAGGGATACCAAGCCCTTGATGACACTCTTCAGGTCGCTTGTTCTATCTAGGCTGGAATATTGCTGCACACTAACAGCACCTTTCAAGGCAGGTGAAATTGCTGACCTAGAAAATGTACAGAGAACCTTCACTGCGCGCATAACGGAGATAAAACACATCAATTACTGGGAGCGCTTGAAGTTCCTGATCCTGTACTCCCTGGAATGCAGACGGGAGAGATACATGATTTAATACACCTGGAAAATCCTAGAGGGACTAGTACCGAACTTGCAAGCGAAAATCACTGACAACGAAAGCAAAAGACTCGGCAGACGATGCAACATCCCCCAATGAAAAACAGGG